ATTCATTCATTCATTCATTCATTCGTTTGTTTGTTTGTTTGTTTGTTTAGTAACATAAAATCATCTGCTCATCACCTCTTTGTTGAGCTTAGTATTAGTAAAGATTTTGTAGACTCTCCAGGTTTTGACAAACATTGTACCAAAACCTAAAGTAAATCCACATGCAGTTAACCATGTTCGAACCTGGAACGACAACCAAAATGTTGGTTATTATTGTTCTCTCTAAATGGAAGAAGTCACAAAAACCTAGAATTGGAATTAGCTATTGAATTTTAATTTTGATCCTCTTTCCAACCCTCGCTCCAACCCTCATTTCAAGATCTCAAGAGGTCACTTCAAAGGGGGTAGGTTGGATGTAGTAGAATTAAAGGTAGGCCCTGATAGTCTAAGATCGACTAGAATGCCTGAACTAGCGCTTTTTGAATTAAAATTAAATCATCAACAATTAATTATGAGAAAATCCTTCACTATTACCCCAACTCATTCACAACGATCTCAAGAGGTCCGAGGGGGGTAGGATTGAATGTAGTAGAGTAAAAGGTAGGCCCTGATGGTCTAAAATGGTGTAGCATCCTTGAACTAGCGCTTTTTGACTCAAAATTTAAAACTCTTAAATATAGCTGAGCCCCTCAAAAATCCCCACCCAATCCTATAGAGGTTTTGCACCATCATGTGCCCATCCCATAATACTGTTTGGGCTTCCTGTGGTTAGATGGCAGACCAATAAAATCCCTTTGTTCTTGGTAATTTTATCCTTTCTCATGTAAGGCCCCGTCCACACGTATCCGGAATTTTTTGTATCCGCAAACTTTTTTTTGCGGATACGGGTTGCGTCCACACGTGTCCGCAAATTTTACGAAAACGGATACGTGTGGACGGTGAAAACGATTCGAATACGATGCGTGTGGACGCAAACATTTTCGTATCCGCAAAAAATAATTTGCGGATACAAAAATTTCCGGATACGTGTGGACGGGGCCTTAGCCTCAGTTATGTGTTAACATATTCGGCCATTCAACTAAAATCCCTGGATTCTTAATCAACTTGTATTGCTCCATAGTACGTGCATTCCTTACTTTACAAGATAGATAGATAGATAGATAGCTTTATTTCAAAAACATCGCAGCCTTAGGCTAAATTACATTTTATACAACAAAGGGGATATATATAAATAGTAAATAGAATATAATCAATACTATAAACTAATTTGCTATATATAAAACTATGTATACACCTACTTGCAAGAACGTTGTCATACGAAAATAGAGCATTAGTGATTTAGTGGGATAGGAATTGTATTAAAAAACAAAAGAAAATCACTGAAGCTGAACTTTTTCTTTTGTCTTTTAATGTATTCCTTTCTCTCTAAATCACTAATGTCCTATTCTTGTATGACAACGTTCTTGCAAGTAGGTGTATATAAAAATTGATAATTGATAAAAGTTGATAATATGACATGGACCTTTTAAAAGAAAAGAAAAGAACACATTTGTACGCAATCCAGGGTAAGACTGAGCAAAGGCGAACTCGTATTGAGAACGCGAGGCATGTTCACTTCAGGGCGAAGAAATGTCGTTTAAGTGTCTGAAAATACAAAAATAAATCACACACACATTAAAAAAAAATTTACAATAACTTACAAATTTCTAATTTAATTTTTGTCATCAATAAGAGGACAGACAGATAAGGCTGACGTCAACGAGCGCGTGCTCTTTCCGTTGGTGGTTTTGATCGCTAAAAATGAGACGTTTTTATCGTTTTTGTTATTGTAAAAAACAAATAGACATCAGTTTTTTATGTGTCTGTCCTCTTATTGACGATAAATTGCGTCATCACATTGTCAAAGTAGTGTGGATTCACGAGGCGTAGCCGAGAAACTGATGTTAAATAAAAGAAGATTATTGCAAACAACGCAACTGAGAAACAACGAATGAAAGTAATAGTGGTGATCATAAATAAAATCAGGAT